ATACTAACATACAGCATCGTTTCCAGCAACAAATGCACCTGAAATAGCTGTCAGACCAACAAGTAAGCCTATAGGTAGTGCCAGTCTCTTCACTTTAGCAGCCCCATGAACCCATGCTAGTGATTCAGCTGGTGGTTCAGGCATAACAACAGACAAAGCAGTCCAGAAAAGACCACAGTAATAGCAAACGCTGAAGTAAGATGAGCAGCAAGGCGATAGGGGCTGACCCTTGGCTGAAAATATTCAGATGCTGGTTCCTATAGAAGAAAACTGGCTTAAAAGAATGATAATGTTAACAATAAAACTTCAAAATCAACAGAGGAATTTGCCAACCTCTAAACCACTTTTAACCATCCACCACCCAATTAAACCCTGGCCAGCCCCAAGGGCAAAGAGAGTAGAAAGTCTGAGTCCTAATCGTAAGGTTATGTACCCCTTACGGAGAAAATATGAGAAGGGCAAAGCAAACATAACTCCTAATGCCCTTCCCCACATACGATGTGCATACTCCATCCAATATATAAATTTGAAATCTTCAATCTTCATTCCCTTGTTAACTCTGCAACAGGTGACAAAGTATTACATCAACGTATTCGGCATCTAGGTAAAAAATCAGCGCAATAAATTAAGGCACGCAAATAAAATAAAATAAAATAAAGAATTTTGATAAAGCATACATCCTCCACAATGCAATATTACGTTGACATTGCATGAATCACAGCGGTGTTTGCACTTGTTACTTACCGCTTGTATTCAGGTGATTGCTTATATTTCTCAAACTCTTGCTGCCATTCCTCATCTGACATGGGAGGGAGCCCACCCGTGAATTTCCAATCAGTCATTGAAAGACCGGATCGCGTCAGTCTAGTAACACCCCCAAGTACCACCATACTAAACACCCATGCGGCTGAGCCGAAAAGCCATATTCCAACCGCTTTCTGGGCATGAGGTCCCCCAGTCACTAGCAGTTTCACACCCTCTTTCTGGGCCACCTCAGTAGACGCCACACTACAAAAGCTCCTCATGTACGGCACATTGTGACCCTAAAAGCATCGTAACATTTTCCTTCAAACCAAATGTACAAAACAACACAATAAAGAAAGCTTCGTCACCCCGAAAAGTTGCAAGACCAAAATAGAAACGATATATTTACCACCAGATTTAATCATGATACTCAAGAATATCTCATACAATTATTATGATCATAATCAATAACAACTGACAGACCCCAGACAAATCCAAAACACCATCTTTGAATTGTCAATACTCATATATGATGAAGTGAACTAAAAATGACAATTATCCAACATATAATTGAACAGAGTAAAACAAAATTTACCCAGGTTATTTACAACCTGCTGAATGCATAAACTTTAATCGCTCCAAAGAAAGGGAAAATAACATACGCCAAATGCATGAGATAGATAGAAATGTTTCAGTAGAAGTGAAAAGAAGAGAATTGACGAGACCTTAGGCTGAGATCGAAACATATGTAAATATTGCCGGGCGATGGTCGGGTAAAAAAACCTTGACGAATCCCCGGAAGAAAAACTTGAAGTTGGCCTTGTTTCTCTCAGCTTGTACATCCCATTTACATCTTTACTGCGCCTCAAAAATGACCAGGCCGCTCTGCTCCGAAACATCTCTCTCTCTCTCTCGCTCTCTCCCTCCCTCTCTCTCGCTCTCTCTCTCCCTCTCTCTCTCTCTCTCTCTCTCGCTAGTTTGCGCTGGGAGGGGCTTAACCAGGGTTTAGGCGTCTAGCAGAGACGGAGATTCGCCTATTCCTCGATGCGGCGCAGTCGTTTTGGCGCAAGGCAGCCACAACTGTGGGAACGATCAAAATTATAATTATTTAAAAAATCAAATATCAAAATATATCCCCCTGATTTTCTTTCATTACTGCATTCCTTATACACTCCCTCTGTGTGCTATGTCAAATGTGAACCGTCATTTCAAGTAGAGATTAGTTCTAAATATAACATTTTAATTTTTTTAAAAATATTTTTATTCATTAATTGTAAAAATGTAATGTAAATAATTGAAGAGAATAATTTAAAGAGACCATCACATATTTATGACAAATAATTAATTTAATTAAATTTTTTAAAAAAAATTAATTTTTTAGTCCTTTAACTTTCAACTTACTTTTAACTTAGGGGGTGTTTGGCATTCTCAAAACTACTGTTTCAGAAGCACTTTTCCACAAAATGAGGTAATCTCTTCCACATATTTATTTCGTAATCCGTAAAAGCACTTCTGAAACCATGGTTTGGTTTCTATCCAAACACCCCCTTAAATCCTTAACTATAAGTTGGTGCGACTCAATCCCTCAATTTTTTAATCATATATGACTTGGTTCCTTATTTTTTTCACTTTTAACGTAAATAATTAATACTTCTCCGATCCTTAATATATAACCTAATTTACTAATTTGAATAAATTAAATATAGTAGTTAAATTAGTCAATATGATATATTTTTTCTAAAATATCATAATCATCTTCCTTAATTCATTCCCTCCTTTTCTCCCTTACTTAATTATTGTTGAAGAAATATCAATAGGATTAATTTAAAAAATATATCTTATATATAGAATTAACATCAACTTTCAAATTAGGTTTTATATTAAGAATAAGTATCATCTTTAAATTATTTTCCACTCAGCTCCGCCTGTTTGTTCAAAAAATTCAAACAAATGAACACGCCGGAAAACCGTTCAGACGTGGCAATCATGCTCCTCACTGGTATCCACAAGCTTGCCGGCATCTTTGTGGGCTTCGAGGGACAACTAGGGTCACCACGCTTGAGATTCAAACACGTTGGAGGAACTCAGGAGGAGATGCCAGGATATGGAAATCAAATGTTTTGCACTTTACATTGATAGGGAGCCCCTGGAGCAGAGGTTCAAATTTTCCTGTGTAGTTCACACAAGCATTTCCTCTTCTGGTTTGGCAAATGCTTTGAGAGAGGATGTGTTTATGTTACTGTTTGAGTTTGGAAGAGATGAGGCGAGAGAGATGGATCGCAGACGAGGATTCTGCACGTTTTAGGTGTAATTTAGTCGGTAGTACACAACACATATTCAAAAATAAAAAGATAAAATGGACCGCGTAATTCCTTTTGTTTAGATAAATCTGAGGAGACTAACTCGCGGGAGAGGATAAAGTGTGATGACCATAGTTGTTCCTCAGAGCCCACAAAGATGCCGGCAAGCTTGTGAGTTGTGGGTACTGATCAAGAGCATGATTGCCACGTCTGGATGGTTTTCTTGCGTGTTCTTTCGTTTGAATTTTTTGAAAAAATAGGTGGAGTTGAGTTGGAAATAATCCAAAAGATGATACTCCTCTGGTGCTAAATATAAGACTCATTTTATAATGTAGTGTCCTAAATATAAGACCCCTTTTGTAGTGTAATTTACACTATAAAAGGAGTCTTATATTTAGGACCGAAAAAATATTAATTATTTATACAACATAGAATGACTCAGGATCATTGTTTAAAAAGTAAAATAAAAGACTGGGTCATATGTGAGTTCAAAGTTACTCCTTCCATTCCTTATTATAAAAGACATTTGATGCTTATGGCATGTTCCCATATATAAGAGACACTTAAAAGTTATCTCTAGTTTTTTGTATTGATTTCCTATTTTACCCCTATTTATTTTGTCTCCTACTCATACTCTCTCTCCCTCCCACTTCTCTTTCTTTTAATAATTTAATTGTTCTCTCTCATACTCTCTCTCCTTATTAATAGGGGTATTGTTGGTAAAAAACATTATACTTTTTACGTATTAATTGTCCTCAACTAATTTTAACTGTTTTTTTTATCAATGTAATTTGGTTATTTGTCTCTTATAATAAGGAACGGAGGGAGTAAGATACTAGGTCATACCGAATCATAGTGAAGAGACTAAGTTAAAGGTAAATTAAAAGTTAAAAATCAAAAGATTAATTTTTTTATTTATTTTTAAATATCTTCAAATTAGTTATATAATTATATTAAGGACCACAAATAATACCTACACTAGAAATATTCAAAAATTCATTATTTATAATAAATACATTTTAGTTTCTTTAAATTATATTCTCCGTCTTATTTATAAACTTAAAATTCAGAAAGGGATATGATTCATTTTTTAAGTTTTAATTTGGGTTTATAAACATTTAATATGTTTTTTAGAATTTTATTCTTAATTATTCCTTTGTCATATTCTCTCACATTACACTTACACAATTTCCATATATTCTATTTCATCATTTTTTTATATTAAAAAATACTCCATCCGACTTATTTATAAGCTTTAAATTTAGAAATGAGTATGATCTATTTTATAAATTTTAATTTGGATTTGTCTATGTTGCTCTTAATTTCTTTTTTATAATACTGCTCTTAATTATTTTTCTTTTATCATGTTTTCTTATACTTTTCCTTTCATTCTTTGTTTCATTTATTATAATTGCATATTTAAAAAATATTTCTAAATTATTTATTATTTTAATTAATTTTAACTAATTATTTATCATTCATAAATTAAATTAAGGGACAGAGTATCTGAAAATATGTACAGTGTTAGCAAAGCTTAATCCATTAGCAAAGCTTCCTTGTCCTGTTATCTCACGCGACGGAATTTGCATTAGCAAAGCTTCTTACTAAGCATCCTATGGAAGGAAGAGGCTCCTACCTCTCTTTACGACCTACCTGTCTTCTGCGACCACGTTTAACAAGTTCATACCGACAGAACAGGGACAAACATACGATCCGTGGGACGATGATGCGTTCGGGCACAGCACGCCGAGAGGAGTAGAAGACGGGCTAACGGATGAAGCTCACCTGAACGGAGAACAGCCGCAAGATGGGCAGGAACTGAGAAGGCGAGGTCGGAGGATCTTGATTCTGGAGAAGCACGACTGAAAAAGGGAGTTTCTTTTCTTCTTCTTTTTTTGCCATTTTTAAAATTCTTCTTACTAAATAGAGAAACAATTTTTTTTCCCATTTATTAGATTATGGATGGTGCAATCTTTGTATTCTTCATTTCATTACTTTTCTCTGAAGTGTCTACATAAACTCTTCAAAACATTCATAATAAATTCTACGCAAAAAACAAGAGCCAATCCTAAGATCCTCCTGTTCATAAATCAGTGGATATGTTCCATTGGTACAGTTCTTTGTCTGGTACTCTCAGCTCTATAGTGACCAACCCAGATTCTGCCTCGTATCTGAATTCCACCTCCTCTGAATCAACTGTTATCTTCTTGGGTTGAGCTGATGAATAAGCTCCAAATAGGCCACACCCACGAACCTTCATGACAACGTTTGCAGTTCCATTAGCTTCTTCGTACCTCAAATCCTTGATGGCTCCTCCTGAGTTGAACATCTTGATCAAACCAATCGGAGCAAACCTAACCCCATTGGTCAATTCTTTGACAGGAACTACTGTGAAAACTTCATATTCTCGAGATTTTAATGTAACTGGCATTGATGCATCCTGTGGAAGATAGACTACTTCTCCTGCAAATTACCATAAGTGAGCATGTTAGATTCAAAAAGTTTTAAGTACCATATAGAAGATTATTTCCAATGTATAATGTGAAGCCTAGCTAGAAACATACCACCAACATGGGAAAATATAATGGTGTCTCCTGTCCATTTGTCATCTGCAACTCTGGACAAATAATCAACATCTTTGGCTCTAATGATGCCGGTGACTGTGCCGGGATTTTCATCGTGGATAAGGTTCTTCTTTCCAACTTTGCACCACCCAGCTCCCTGGCAGTTGAATGCCCCAACAACTCCAGAAAAATCATTCACATTCCATATCTTCAGAAGGCTGCAAAAGCAACTTTCAATGAGTATTTTGAAATCAAAAGCTCAATGATCTGACAATCGTTCAAACGTATTCAGGTATGTTGATCTGACAATCGTTCAAACGTATTCAGGTATGTTAATTCATGTTGGATTCCTTTACCTCTTTCCATCTCTGGCAGGATCAGAAAATAAGCAATCCTTTGTTGGCCTTCCTGGAAGTTTAGCCCTCAATATAGAACCATCAGGGAGTGCGAGTTTCTTTAATAGGTTAAAGTCATGGTGCCCAGGCTTATCACTGTAAATATGAAGACATTCAATGCTAAGAAACCATTCGTTCAATTGTATAATAATGCCATATCATTCATTGGAATCGATCATACCTAACATAAATGGGACATCCTCCTATGGCTCGAGCTGCACCGTGATATTCAGCCATTGGATGTAAGCTCTGTCATACATCAAAGGTTCAAACTTGATTAGCTCTGGAAGAGCAAGTACAAATTTAATTTTCAGAAAAAAGACGGGAATTAATCATTTTCCAACTTACATGAAACATATCCCAATCTGGCTGCATAAATTCACCCAGGAAGATGGTGTTGTAAGCAACTGATGCAATGTGTATTGTGTGAGATGCTGGATCTCTCGGCCAAAAATCATCAGATGCCCTTACAACAGCAGACCGTTTTGCACTATAAAAAAATTCATACAAAATCATTATGAATGATCTCACTCATAAAATCATTAACTCACTAGAAGTTCATGAGCAAGGAAACCATCCTCACCTGTAAAGCCCATCAGTGTTGTGACTCATACAGCAGATGATTCCATTATCAGGGAAATTTCTGCAGATGGATGCCTCTAATGCTTGATGGTATTTCCTTGCAAGTTTCACCCTTCCTCCATGCCCTGCCCCTAGAGTTTCAAGGATATTCTGAACATCAACTTTTACACCATCAATACCAGCAGATGCCAGATATGAGTGGAGTTCATTATAAAAGTGGAAAACTTTCTCAGGATTCACAAGGCCAAGCCCATTTATGGTGATTGTATCTAAAGCTTCGTCTGGTTGGTTTGATTGAACTCCGGGAGATGACACAGGGTAGGTTATCTTCGAGTCATAGTGCTCCGTTCCAGTGACACCAGGTTTAACACCACCCCAGTAACCAGTTATAGCATGCCACACATAAATGTGCCTACAGAAACGAAGTGAATAGATGAACTGAATATTCTCAAAGTAGGGAAAAATGGAGAAAGATGTAAAATGAAGTTATTAAGCATACTTTATGGCGTGCTTTTCTTTGATCTCATGGGTAATATAACGAAGTCCTAGAGACGGGTCTTCTATCCTCTCACCCTCTTTGCCATCTTTCTGAAATTTGTGGTTCTCTTTTATGTGCGTTAAACGATTTGCAAAGCTGATACAGAAGAAAGAGAACAAAGTTAGAGAATAGGAAATAGAATGACTGAACCAAATATGCACAGAAGGATTAAGTTAAAATATGGTTATGAAACTTAGAAGAAATAAATACTCACTTGGCTGTATTATCTGCTTTCCATTCTACAGCATTGAGGTCCAAACCAACAGATTGCCATCCATCATCAATTATAACAAACTTGGCAGGAATTCCACCTTTCTCTAAGCTGTAAAAAATAAAAATAAAAATAAAAAAGTAAATAAATAATCTTCACGACTCTGATCCAATATTTCCGAATTTTATTTTTTGTATTACAGTGGATGGATAGAAGCAACACCTTTGTAATCCCTGATTCACACCCTCTGAAGTGACATTAGTGTAGAAACCATCCCATGTACACCAGCCAAACCAGTTCAACATGTCAGGCATCTGAATACAAGAAAATAAGTATTTATTAGTTAAGATGCATTACTCTTAGATCATAAGATCATCGGAGGGAACTCTTATGAGAAAGCAAATATCACCTTCTTCCTCTCACGATGAGAAAATGTCTGCAAGTGTTTCTCAACAGTCCTGAAGAAATTGGAAAGGAAATCAAATTATGACCCGAGTTTGACCCCAAAAAACAAATTGTCTATAACTAGGATAGACACAGAGTGTAATAGGGAACAGTTAACTTACTTGACAGCATTTGTAATAACTTGGTATGGGTCTGATCCAGCTCCAATAAATACCAGATTAGTACCATCAAATCCTTCAACAGCAGGACATCCTACAGTCGAACACACCTTAATTTCAGTACTTTGAAAAACTAATAAAATGTGAAGTTCTGTACAATGTATGGGTCCCACTAGTTGGTTAGTTCAGTTTTAGACGTACCGCTTTCAACACAGATCTCTAGCTCGTTTTGTTCGTTGCCTTGAAGAACAGCCCTGAAATCTCCTTCAAGAAGAGGCAAGAAAACTGCATAGACAGCAGCGTGGTCTTCTCCTGCGTCAAGATCAGAAGGGTTGTGTACTTCCACAAGCAAGAACTGTGTTTCAAAGGGAATGTCTCGTCCACAAGTACCCATCCTCTGTGTCATCCACCACATTTTGAAGCGGAAAAGACACATAAAACGCAGCCCCCTGAAACAATCATTAACGAACCGATTAATAAACCTTATTTTGTGAAATCACACAAACGTATAGGATTAATACATTGTTTTGACTTCAATAACAGGTTACTATAATTAACTTGAAAACAAAATATGCATGTCGGTAACACCTATTTAGAGAATCACAACCAACATCAAAATACTACCAAGTGCACTCCAGAACAGTGAGTTTTCCTATAGAACTTCTTTTGTTAGTAAAACTATAATCCCGAATTAAATCTTCTAATGAATGAATTGTTATTTTCCTGGCCCAAAAAAAAAAGATTAAATTTTACAGCTTGAAGTCAAATTTTTTTTCTGTGGCGGCACCCAAGAACAACGTTGTGACTTTCACACATACATTACAATGCCAGAACAAGAACATCCCTTGCTTCACATTTTGTCATCGAACATTTGGTACACATATAAAATAACCTGGATATTTAACGTGGTTTAATCCTTGTCACTCTTTATCTTACAGTTTTAGCAATTTTTGGACAAAACAATTTTAAATTCATCTATAAGCAATTTTTAACGATAAAGTAGTAGAAGATTCTCTCTCTCTCTCTGTCACACACACACCCTATCACACACACACCCTATATGCACCCATAAGTATAATTTTGAACGAAAGGAAACGACTCAGATTACAACTATTTAAATTTTAAATCTCCGTAAAAGCTCATGCATAAATTATACTCCTCCAGTTCTAAATATAAGACTCTTATACTAATGTATATAAGAATCTTATATTTAGGACTGGAGGAGTATATGAATATATGATATAAAATTTACTTTGAAAAAAACGCGCTAATAGCGCGCGAAGCCATAATCTAGTTATGAATATTCATTTGCTCATAATTACCGAATATACAGTTTCCCAGCTAACATCATTGTAGTACTAGTTTCATAATTTAATTACAGCATCACAACTTTGCAATGCCTGCTTAATGCTTTAATGACCTTATGATTCGCCTAGCTGGATAGAAAAAGAATGATATATATTTATTACAAACTCTTACTCAATCTTCCCATCACCCTGGACGATAAAAAGTAAAACTAAAAGGCAACATCAGAACAAAAAATCAGGGACTAGAAAAGAACATACTCTAGTTTTCCGATAGGGAAGACTTTCCGGCTGCTCTTCTGATCACATTCGACACCAAGGAATGCGCCGTTGAGTAGGGCGCCGCCTGAAGCCGGAGTGACGACGACATTGTGACGGACGTCGCTCAACACCTTCTTCCCCAACACCGTCAAGTTGCCGTCGGCCACAGAAACCCCTGCTCCTACCGTCATTTTCCTCTTTCTTTTTTACTGTTCTTCGATCCTTAACTCTGAAACTCCCCCTGAAATTAATGCAGTGGCGGAAAAAGAAGTAACTAATCGCAATCCAGCTAATACTTGCTGTTTCGGGAATGAAGAACGTTCATGAATGGAGATATGGGCAGAGGCCAATGGATGCGTCGGGATTTATAGGAGGCAAATTGCTGTATAAATATAATTACTATGCGAGGCAGAGACGCGCCGGCTTTTTCCCTCCAGACGTCACGCGCCGGGTTTGCAATTTGCAACATGGCCTGACCAATCCAATTTAATAATGTGATTATAATTTCACCGTCACAAGAATTAATAAAATAATAATGATTATAGTTATCTCTTTTTGAGTCAGATTTTAATCTAATTTCAATATTAGGTTTTTTGGTTCTGTATATACACACACGCATAGATGCATAGCAAGATTTGTAAATTATAAATAGTAAAATTTCTCACAAAATTTTTTGCCAACAAATTTCCCACAAATTTTATATGATGTTAATATTATTCATAATGTTGGTATTGACAATTTGTTTCATGTTAATTTTAACTTGTATCCAATTTATTAGCTTCATCAATATATATAAATAAGATAAAGAAAAAAAACTGAAAATTACTAAATTCCAAATCAAGTTTGGGAACAAATTTTTATTTTAGTGTTAACGACACTGAATTTGTAAATTACAACAAATTTTTTGTTGACATTCTTTATTTAATATTTAGTAATTTTTAGCTTTTTTATATTATTTTTTTAAGATGAATCTAACTATTTAAAAAAATAAATGAACATAAATAATGAAATAAACGTTTAATTCATTCACAAAAAGATGGCAAAAAAAGATCATTCACAAAAGAATAGTACTCCTCCGGTCCTTATTATAAGATCCAATTTGACTTTTTATTTGGTTCTAATTATAAGACCCAATCCATTTTGTCTCTTATATTTATGTATTTTTTTCCAAGATAGTCCTTCTAATAATGATAGTTTTAACCAATATACTTAATTAGCAAGGTTATTTTAGGAATGACAACACTTATTTATTATAAATAACCAACTTAACTTACTTCCTTAATCTCCTTAAATAAATTAATTGGGTTTTATAATTAGAACCGGAGAAGTAGTAATGATCAGATTTTGCGATGAAGTCAACTTGGCACAATGTTGGCCAAACAAAACGTTGGTACAAGTCACGACGCAGTGCTTGTAATCATCCGACCACTTCAACAGGTTGAGATGTACGTATGGCGCCCAACCATTAGTAATCACGTACTTTCACGGAACAAAAATCTCGCTTCTCAAAACCAATCAGCGAGCTTGAGTGATTCCAGGTGGCCCCCGCAGGCTCGTGACGGGGGGGTTTCACCGGCCGACCTTTTGTGTGATGGCAAAAGAATCAATTCAAGGGACAGATCAGCACCGACGGTTCATGGAAAGCAAGCGTGATTGAGGCGGTACAGGATAGAACAATGTAGCGACGATGCAGTGGATCATTGCCGGCCTTGAAAATATCTTCGTCGTGAATTGGATCTACGTGGCATCGTTGACGCAGAACGCAGACAAATGGTGGTGGACAGGTGTTGTTAGTCAAAACAAATCCAAATAATCGTGGACCAATAATCCGGCGAGGCAAAGTGCACGTGATTGTTTCGTGCGTCAGCAATATGATTGGCGTTGGAGTTTTCTTCCTTTTTTCTTTTTTTTTTGAAGGGGTAACGTCAAGATGGGAAAGAAGTACGTGGAAATGACGTGGAGATCAAGATACGGGAGTCAGGTACACGTGGCAAACAACGCGGGGGCAGCCCAAATATTCATTGGATCTAACCTGGCATTTTATCTTTTTATTTTTATTTTAATGGTTCAAATAGTATAATAAAATAATGATATTTTTCTCCTAATTAAGGGGGACACGCACAGCTAAGGATGATGCTTTTGGTTTGATAAATTCACGTATCATTGCCTCAAGCAAAGTGTTTGCTTGGCTCTCTGGTTCACATATTAAGCAGAAAACTAAGGAAGGATACGTAGTTAATATGATAAATGAGTATTAATTATATTATATTCATCAATCATTGAAATGCAATTATTTGACTCTAAGGCCATAATCACCACATATAGTGATTATTTATTCATTAATAAGCTTTGTTAATGTGTTAATAAAGTTTTATTGATCTCATGAGAGGTTGGGGGTGATAGCCAAGTCGGTATCAAAATTAAACCATTGAAAATGAGCATGAAAAAGAGATGTGTGTATTTGGGATATTATATATATTATTTCTAAAATATTTAATTTAACTCTAAATACAAAATTTTGATCTAATTTGCCTCTAATATTTATTTATTTTGTTCTCAGGTCTCATAGTGGTTATACATATTGAGAAGCTTCCGTCAAATGGTACTTCTCCAGTTTTTTAAGGGTTTTATATTTAGACCAGAGGAGTAGTTTCTATGCATGTGATTAAATATGATAATTTAATAATATAAATACATATTTATTACAAATAACCAACTTAATTAATGTTTTAAATATTTATAAATTAATTATCTAATTTTTATATTAAACACGGTAAATATTGGTTTCATTTTCACGTGCATGTGATTAGGGTTGAGGAGTCGCTTTCATTGGGAAAGTAAAGACAAGAAGCGTATAATTGGAGATCCGATCTTTTTTGAAACTGTGGTATCTAGAAAAGAAGGAGATGGAGATTTTTATCCGAAATTTATGCAATAAAATTATACAGAAGTTGAATTTCAATTTCATTAACTCTCTTGATGTATCTGGACGTTTCATGTTATTATCATGTGAAAGTGAATAAGAGACTCTGATGTAACAATGTTTTTAAAACTTCTTATTAAACCCAGGTTACCACCTTTTTGTAGATTTATTTTTTTTACACAATTTTCACTTCGATCTTATTTACAAGAGTTAAATGATACTACCTCTGGTTCTTAATATAAGATCTTGTTTGACTTTTATTTTAGTTCTAATTATAAGATCCCAATCTATTTTGTTTTTCATATTTATGCATTCTTTCCCAAGATACTTCCTCTAATAATAGTAGTTCTAGCTCATAAACTTGACTAGCAAGGATATTTTAGGAAAGACAATACCTATTTATAACAAATAACTAACTTAACTTATTTTCTTAATCTCCTTAAATTAGTCAACTAGCTCTTATAATTAGGATAAGAGGTAGTATATATACTTGTTGGCCAAAAAACGATACACACCCACACTTATTTCGGTCCTATTTATCTTTTTCCTGATTATTTTGATCTATTTTGTCTTTCTTGTTTATTAATCTCTTTCAAGGCCACTTTTATGTTCAAAAATAAATACTTAACTATTTTTTTTAATAAGAATACTTAACTAAATTTATTGTCTCTTTATCAGTCAGTAAAATGGAGATGACAACCATAAATTATGCAAATAGTGTTTTATAGCTAACTAAAAGAAGTAAATTTTATTTATGGTAACTTTTGGGAGGAAACAAAGAGGAGATGGTAATAGAAAATAAATACATAGTGATAAAAAAAAATAAAAAGTAAAACCCTCACAATACACAAAGGAATGCTTTCCTTAAACAAGATGTATATTTTCAAGTAAAAGGAAAACAAGATGTATATTTTCTGGTAAAAGAAAACAGGATGTATATTTATTTCAGGAGAAAAGTAGAGAAAATAACCTCACAATACAAAGGAATACCTTTCTCCACTTTTTGGCTAAGATCAAGCATAGAAAAATGAAAACTGAGTTAGAAATAATTTATGCACATTTCACTCACAGGAGATCAAAACTCCGACCTTGCACTTACAAGGCATTTAAAAGAATTGTTTAGTGCGATTATGGCACAAAGCCACCAATGAGTCATGTCATGACTTATGAATAATGTAAGTTTTCATATACACATATTTTGATTGATATGAAAATTTAAGTAAAAACATAAATTGATTCATTTTTATAGGTACAAATATTATTTTATTGATAATAATTATATTCCAGACATTATTAGATATCAAAGGTGTAAACACGTTTTTTATCAAGAAGATTGATTTATCGGATCACTTGTGCTGCGTAAAACCTCTTACCTATAGGCCCGAAGTTCAGGAAGTTGGGTTGAATCAATTGATCTTAGAAAAAGCCCACAATTGGCCCCACAAAGAAAATTCCAAAAAAACAAGATGATGAGTTGGGTCCAACTGCTTGAGCTGATTACATGAGCCTCTTAAGAAGCCCATGGGCCAATGTGAATTTCACAGAATACAATCGACCTTTAAGGATTGGTCATGGGCTTTTTGAATGAGCAAAGCAAAAACATAGGCTAAAATATGAATATTTATAATGTGATGAACCGGGGATTGGGTCTAATAGAAGAAACTAGTTTATCATAATGTGATGAACTAAGATTCGAATCTCCACTGAAAGATATGCCTACATTTAGTATTTGACAGTGTCTCGAATAAGATTATCTCCAATAGGAGGATACCTATGCTTTAGCAAAAATAATAATAATAATAAGAACAATCCATATCATTCCCCGTTTGCAAACAGCATTATTTTTCCCAACCTCCTCCTTGGGGGAGTTTTTTCAAGCTTTGTGCATTGTGATGGTCCAAAATATAAGGGGAAATTGTTTAATGCTTCATTCTTTTTTTTGGTCAAAATTAACCTTTATCATCTGTGAAAGATATAAATATGGCACTAAATATATGTAGACATTATATCACTATTTTAGTGAGGGTAATTTTGAAATAAATTTTGAATGTGAGACAAATTAATTAAGATTAACAAGCTCCAACTATTTTTTTTTTTAAATTTGGTAAGGTAGTTTTTTTCCTCGTATATTAAGAATTGGAGGCAATAATATTTATTTAACACACAAAAAAGTTCATGTCTAGCTGTAAAACAAAATTACATTCAGAGCCACGAAACCATGGACCAAATACGATATGGAATATGAATAATGAAAGTGACATAAGAAAAAATTTAAATAACCTCAACATTGGGAAAAAAAAAAACAGTGAGAGAATGAGAAAGAGTGAAAGAGAATAAACTATAAAATATTAGAGTCCATCTCAAGTTAACTGCCGCCTCGGGGGAGAAAAAAAGAAAGGCA